AATTTGGATACAAGACTATGATAACAGACAAGTGTTGAAAACTTTGCTAAAGCCAAGGTAAATTATATCCACTGCTATTCTTGCTCACAGATCCAGTCATTTTATCGGAGGAAGCAATCAGGTTGGTCGGGGTGATTTACCCTTGGTAAATCCATGCTCACTGCTCCCTATCACCTTCTTCCCGTTCACGTGTCCAGAAATGTGTTTCAGAGCGCACTTGCTTCATGATTTTCCCAGGGACCAAAGTAAGGTCAACTGGCTGCAGTTCCCTGGATTGTCCTTTTGGCCTTTTGGGAAAATGGGTGCAACAATTGTCTTTTTCATCAGGAACCTGCCCTGATTTCCATGACATTTCAAAGGTGATACAGAATGGCCTTGCAAGGACACTGGCCAGTTCCCTCAGCACCCTCAGATGCAGCCTGCTGGGTACCATGGACTCAGTCCCTGCCCACTGCAGGTTGTTCCTCTTAAGCATGTTCACAGAGGTATGGGAGACATCGTTAGTGCAGACTGAGACAAAGAAGGCTTTGAGTACTTCAGATTTATCTGTCTCTGTCATCATTATATCACCCAGCCCACTCAGCATCAGGCAGACATTTTCCGTGGTGAGCCTCCTATTACTAATCAAGCAGTAGAAACTTTTCTTATTGCCCTTGACATCTCTCGGAAATCTCAACTCCGTCTGAGCTTTGACTTTCCTGATACCATTCCCCATACGCCCAGGCAACATTTCTAAATTCCTTTGTAGCCTGTCCCTGCTTCCGCCTCTTGTATGCTGCCTTTTGATGTCGGGACCTCCACTGTGGGTTCCCTGCCTAGTTAAGCTGTGCTTCTCATAAATCTGCCCATTTTCCTGCATATCAAGACAGACTGCTCTTGTGCTTGGAGGGTCCTTAAAGACCTGCCAGCTTCCCTGAGCCACTCTGCCCTTCAGAGCTGCTTCCTATGGGATCAAACCTACCAGTTCCCTGAATAAGCCAAACTCTGCTTGTCTGAAGTCCCAGGTTTGTACTTTGCTACTTTCCTTCCTCATTCCCTCCAACATCTTGAACTTCATTATTTCACAACTGCTATATCCAAGGCTGCTAGTGATTATCATATCCCTAACCATTTCCTTCTGATGAGTGACTAGCAGTTCCTCACCTTTGGTCAGCTCAGACAGAGAAAGAGGAGGACAACAGTCATTTAGTGACCAAACAACAACAGGACAGCTATTATGGTTTGAGATCGGTGCAGAGAATCCCATATAGTGGTCAGTGAACGGAGTTGACTGAATATTTGCATAAAGGAGAATGAAGTAGAGAGGATGAAAAGAAGGCAGCTGTACAAAAATGCATCAGCACAGCTAGACAAAAAGTCCTCATGGGAATTCGGGGCCCAGCGAGAAGAACAGTAGCCAATACTAAGGGACAAGCACGCCATTGAAAGAGCAGTTTGCTGTTTCAAAGCTGCACTCCACTCAGCAAGTTAAATGAGGAAAAGAAGAGAGACACAGAGCTATGGAGTCAGAACGATTTTCAGCTGAGATTCTTGCATCAGAATGGGTAGGCAAGGAAGCTGAAGAAACAGAACAGTGAATCACAGTCACAGTGCCTGGGAAAAAATTTAATGACTCAGAACTAAGAGAAAATGAGACACTGACCAGAAGTAATGAGGAGACAAGGCCTGGAGAAAGAAGAGGCGCAATCTGATATGTAGTCATGTTTCTCTGCGTGGTCGAAATTGAGCCACAACTGCTAGACCTGGGTCATAAAAGCCACATAAGATCCAGAGATCTAGGTCCTCAGCTATGAATGAAGATGCCTATGAACTTTTCCAAAACTCAATGAGGGTTTCAGTGACCTGAGAACAGGGGAAGGATCCAGAAATAAGGAAAATGGGGTGGGGTGTAGCCTGCTGCACAGAACTGGAGTTATTGTTGAATACACTATAAAAAATACTAAGCCTTGTTATGTTATAACAGGTCAGCCTGGGCTTAACCAAGTCTTTCTTTTCATTAAAATTGCATTTTAGACAGAAGATACGCAGTAGATTCCATTGACTTGCATTTAAGTAAAGGATTTGACATACAGTCATAAAGGGGACCACTACTTAAGACTGAAAATTGGGGACTAAAACAAGAACAATATGTGGTAGAGAGCTGGTCTAGAAAAAAAGTATTACGCAGGAAGTACCTCATGGACCATTTTTGAAACTGATTTTATTTAGATAGCACAAAAAAGGAGAAGTATGCTGACAAAACTTAATAATGACAAATCTGGGTGGCACTGTCAGAGAATATAAGGAAGCTGAGAACCATATAATAGAAATGGGATTAAATATAGCATTACAAAGCACAGGACGATGTTCCTCAGAGTTTATACCTCTAATAATGGGAATTCATCAGTTGCAAACAACAGGAAGTAGAAATACTTGTGAGTATTAGTCAACAATAGAATGACCATATGCTGTATCAATGTGGTAAGGCCATAAAAAATAAAATGTGATCCCAGTCTGCATCACAAGCTATTTCCAGTAGAGATAAAAATGCATTAGTGGCATTCAAGCACTGGTGATACTGGTAATCTGTAATACTAAGTACAGGTCAGTCTCCTGAGAGGCAGACCTAAAGAGGTTCAAAAGAGGTGACTTTAACCTGGACTAGATATAACAAAGGACTATGAGCATAAGAATTGTGGGGAGCCCCTCTTACTGGGCAAACTAAAACCACTTGCTTTGCCAAGCCTATCAAAAAGAAAAAAAAAAAAAAAAAGCTGCTGGATCTAAAGTATCTCAGAAGTAGGGAACCTAACTAGTCTTGAGACAGGAATTGTGTCATGGCTTCCATGACAGAGGGAACCAGACTGGACATGCCAGGAGGTCCCAAGCAGCTCCATAATCCTATCTTCCTACTTGTAATAGCTTGCTAGGTTGAACTTTCTCATATGATTATATCCATGCAAAATTAAATCCTTCTCAAACAGCTGATCTGTAGCAGCTGAGTGACACTACCCAACCAGCAACATGCTCCAGTGCTATAGCACAGGCTTGGTCAGAGAACTTGGAAGTTCAACAGCAGGTTATCTGTGCCAAATACCTGACTCGCTATCACAGCAAGTAACACTGAGAACCCACCTCCTTTTCCACTATTACATAAGACAGTTTTCAAGAGTATAATGTATTTAATATCTTCCCCTCTCCCCTTCACAGTTCCCAGAAAACACAAGGAAGATCTGCAAAAGGTAGCTCCTGAAAGTTGGAAGTTTTACCGTGTGGTTTGTGTGCATTCCACAGCCACCACTGCAAACCTTCCACCTGACAGGACACCAATGCACACAGCATTTTCCCATTCCATGGTGAGCATAAGGAGGTTCTGATGCCCTGACTGCAGCCTAATGGAGCACCTTAATCCAGACACAACATCGTATCATCAGTACCAGCACTCCACCTGCACTGATAAAACTTCCATTGCAGACAGAACTCTAGCAATTTGTGTTGCCTTATCACTCCACCAGTTAAAATTATTGGCTGACAGCAACAAAGACACTGAAAGGCAAGAAGTCTTGGTGCTAGCATGGTTCTGAAAGGTGTTAGCATCTATGTAGCCTTTTGACATACTTGAATAAGGCTCTACCTATTAAAGAATTGTCAGGGATTTGATAAACAGAGGCACGAGTCTTCTGTTGCCAGGAAAGTTTGGTTACCTCTGTTCTGAGACTTTTTTATCTTATAAAGGCAACAGACAGAAAAGAAAAAAAAATATAAAAGCAAGCCTTGAAATGGACATATACTTAAAGCGATAGCCTCACCATACAGGAGGTATAATTGTCTGCAAAAACAATCTGTGTGGGACAGACAGAACTTACGGCACAAGAAATGTAGCTTTCATTCTACAAAAGTAGAGAATGGGAATGAGGCTTTAACACAAACACCATGGAGGCTGCAAGTAGTTCAAAGGTCTGGATTTAATGGTAGCTTAGTCCTTTCAAGACAGCAGCATGAGAGAACTATTAGCTAACCTATGAGAGGCTATGCTTTCAGAGGGTGTCAGGAATTACAAGAAAATAAGTGATAATATGACATCAGGAGTACCAAAGTAGGCTCACAAAGTAGGCTGGCACTAGGCACCTGTGGAATGTCACAAAAGAGAAGGCAGAGGCTGCCAGAGAGTTTGGGTTTACACTAACAGTGGAGAGGTAGACTTGAAAAGGGCGTGGAGATCTTCACACCTGCCAAAGGGATTCTGAGCCCATAAAAAGCATCAGAAGGCAAAGAAACTGGAACTAGGATATGACAAAGGTGTGTTTTGAAGACTAAGGAAGCTTGCCTTTTGGGACCAAGTAGGTTTTGAAGGAACTGTACTGAAGACAGCACAGAAAAGGAAGTTGGGGAATAATGAAAGAGAAGGGGAACAGAGAGAAATGTCAATGTTTAAAAAGAAAGTAGAAGACTGAAGCACTGAGGATCAAACACAGGCAGACACTAAAAGCTAGACGTATCCCCAGGGATAAGAGAGTTAATAACTCTCCAGACAACGCAGGCCCCTTGAACTCTGTTGTTTACATGGGTTCATTCCAGATCTACTAGGACACAACTGCAAAAATCAGAACCGGGCAGCTCTACTGGGCCAGAGAGACCTGAGAACGAGCCCATCTCCTACAGGCACAGCTGCGCTCTGCACCAGCTTTTGGCCAGCCTCAAAAATTGATCAAAAACATCCTTAAGACCCAGAGGGCCCCAGCGTCAAGTCGCGTACGTCGCAGCCCAGCACCACTGTCCATCCAGCAAGTGGCAGTGCTGGCTCGGCGAACCCAGCGCACGAGGACAAGGCAGGCCCGGCTGCACTCCACGCTCCCAGCCCCCAGCCCCAGCCCCAGCCTTGCTCTCTAGACTTTCACCCACTGCCTACTTACTTTTTAATTAGATTTTTAAACAAAAAGTGAAAGTATTTCTAAAATCCCTCTAATTACAGTAAGATGCTGAACTGATTGTGAAGGGAATAGGAAATGAAAGCGACTCACCCTCTGAGGGAGAATTTTGTCAGCCATCTTCCTCCTCTTGGCACTGTACATTTTTTAAAGAAAAAAACACGTTACCATGGTGACAGATCTAGGAGTAACGAGGCCACCTGCTAAATTATCCTGACATCTCCACATGCTGGTGCACAGCTGTGCAAGCATCAGCAAAAGGGTCTCACCCATGCCCAGGACCTAGGACCCCTTCTCTCAGCAGCCTGGGGAGGTAGTTAGCTAAGAACAAATCAAGGCTGTCTGTTATGCATCTTGGAAAGAAGTGTGCAAGTTCTTTGATCACAGCATCTTCTACGGTGCAGGGCGGCAATGTATGCAAGTGCATGTGCACAAGCTGTCTAGAGATACAGAAAAAGCATGTAGGAAGACAGTGAGCACGTGTGGAAGTGTGCAGACATAAACCTATGCATATGCACATGTAAGTGGTTGAGTGCCTGTAAGCAGAATGTGAACTTGTTCAAACAGATGACATGCGTTCATTCATTCATGCCCAAAACTGAGTGCTGATGAAAACACACAGATATATGTGTATTTCATATGATGCATGAAAACACACATATATAGCCACCCTTCCCTACGTATATACACTTGTTTTATTGTAACATATTTGCATGAGCAATATACAAAGCTAAGTGGGCTTGCGTTTCCGTATTTGTTCACCTTTATAAACACACATGTGGGAAGATATATGTGTGCCTGCAGTGAATATACATAATGTGTGCATACCCATACATCAGCTCCTTTATATACCTATGCTTTTAAAAACATACTTGTGTTTGTGTACCTACACACAAATATCTATGTGCCTACAAAACGGTACTACCAGCAAGACTGCCAAACACACTGTCTCTGGAATTCTTCAGACTCTAAGAACCGTTTATGCCCACCAAACCTGTCACCTAGTTTTCTCTAACAGGGCCAAGAGGGAATTCAGGCCTTATTCTTCACCTCTGGAATTTCTGAGGCCTTTCTGAAGCAGCAGATGAACCACTCCATCTGTGACAGACAAATGGGAGAAAGCGAAACGCCTGTTGACGTTCTGCCATGTCACAAGGGTGCCCCTCCTTACTGCTTTCACACAGGAACTCTGTCATCAGCCATGTCCGCGCAAAAGCTGTTTCCACACACATCCATGTGGCATACTCCCATCCCACGTTTGCTAATAAGCCTAGCCTGAAATACCAGATTCTTGGATTCTTCCCCATCCCCATATAAGCCAAGCCCAGAGGTGCAAACTATATCCTTCCTCGGGGCAGAAAATTTATCCACACAGTCACACTCAACTTCATAGGTGAACAATGTCCCTTTATAATACAGTGTAGGAATAATGGGATTGGAATGTCACATGGTGTGAACCTCCAACACCTTCCACAGCTCACTAAATCAAATCTGCACTGAAACACTTCACATAATCTGGAAGTCATGCCTGAGCAAGGTCCATCCTCCCAAAGGGACATGGGACATGCATGCATGCACCTGCAACAACTCCAAAGGCTTGCAATTAAAGAGCAAGTAACAAACAAACCAAAAACCCCCAACAACTTGGGTCTCAACCAGTTCTCCAAGAGTCTATTACAGAAGTGAGATTTTTATCTCCACCAAACCTGCCAAGAAAGGACAACTACAGCGTCTTGGCCTGTTTGTGGCACAAAACATAGAACTCAATTACTCCCAGAAGTGGACCCAAGGTGCCAGAAAAGTTTGCCTGAAAAATCAGAAAAATTCCAATGGGAAATGGCAGGGAGGTGGAAATTAACGAGACGAGAACATTCAACACATTATCTGGAGGGAAGGCAAGGCAGAAGAAACAGAGAAACTTTCCTGAGTATCTAGGAAGCACCGGTGTGAGCTGGACCCACTACGGGACAGATTACTGCTGGGTTCCAAACCTGAAGCATTGAAGTTAAGAACTGGGGAAGGGGAACTGCTTCCTTCTGTGAGTTAGGCCATCAACTTTCAGAAAATATTTCTCTTCAATGAACCCTGGAAACTAGTTAGTGACTGAAGTTTACGTCAATTATCTAGCAGCGGCAATTTTTCAGGTTATATCTACGCTGTATATTGGAGGGCTAGGCATTATTTTGTGCAGTTTCCTGGAGCACCTCCTGGGAGGTGCTGTGGAATGTGCATTTTGGCTTAGTGCTGGGCAAGGCCTCCATGAAGCACATGCATCTCTCGTGCTCACGTGCTGCACTCACACACATTCCTTCTGTATTCAATCTTATTCAATTGTAATGTATTAATACTCTCAGGATTGATGTCCTTTCCAGATGCATCCCAGATATAAGCATTCCCAAGTCTGGCTTGCTGATCCAAGGCATATAACCTGGACAGAGCAGGGCTCCTGAAGCACTGAGCTTAAAGAGTAATGTTTTACCTGCAACTAGATACGATGACACCACCAGAACGCTGGCTGAATCCATATACACACCTACCATAATTTTGCAAAAGGCAGACCATTTAGATGACTGCACTCTACATATTTATCAGGAACTGGCTCACACTTAGAACTCAAGACTGCTGAAGTCTAATAAGTTGCAAAAAGAAATTACTGAACTGTTACTTAAGAGAGAATGCATTCAGCACTGTAAAAAGTGGGTATACTTAAAAAAGAAAGTTCCTTTTAAAAAATCCCTCTAATTCTATGAAATTATTTCCTATGCACATCTCTTTACTTTAGATGCAGGAACGCCTGTGGCAATTGCAAGTTTTATGACTACTCTCCTGAGTGACTGTAGTACAGGTATTCACATGACCAACCAAAAAATTTTTTCCACTTGTCTCATTTACAAACCATTTTGTTAGCCAGTGAGAAGTCAGCGAAACTATACAGAACATATAACAAGTAATACAATAATTGTACTGTATTAGAAGGGAATTGTTCATTAACTTTAAAGGCTAGATATAACAGCCAGATTTATAGCCCAATAAACCTGTGAGGTTAAAGCATTCTAACTGCAAAACCAGACATTAGTAAAGGTCAGTTTGTTCAAGATTATTTACAAACAAAGTAAAGAGTAAATTTTACCAATGTTTTTCCTGCTTTACGAAACCAACAATATATAAATCTTCTGTTCTGCCTCATTTGATCTTAAAGGTCTTACCTATTGCTAAAAAGATTATGTGTTTTCTTCCTCAAACTGTCCTCCCATGTTTTCTTTCCAGAATACTCACCTCCTAGTTCGGTTCTGAGTGGCTTGCTGCTGTTGTTGCACTTGCTGCTGCACTTGCTGCTGCTGGACCTGCTGTGGTGCAGCACGTTTTCTTGTTGTTTCCATCACAGTCTGGGGCATCCCGGGTCGCACTGAAGGGCTTCCAACATATGGGGCACCTGGGGGACCCATGGGAGCCCCCTGATGGGGCATTCGAGCTCCTGATGGCATCCCAGGACGCTAAAGAAGAACCAAAACAGAAAGAAGAGCCAGTTTGGTCCCTGGTTCCTCAGCTGCAAAGACACCAGCTCCAGCAAGTTCCCCATTTTGAGCATCCTGATAAGCACTAAGCAGCAACACAGAGCACACGAGCTCTGGACTGGTATTTCCTGGACACCGTAAAGAGGAATTCAGTGATAAAGTAGACAGGAAACAGGGATGAAAAATATTAGGCTTGGGAAAACGCTCACTGGTCAGTAACATATCCAGGCCAGCTTACAGCAGAAAGCTCTACCTTCAGACCAAAGAAAAAGCTCCACAGCAGCTGCACGCAGTTCAAATCAGTGCAGCTCACATGCTAATCAAAGCCGCAAGCAAGCTCACATCTACAGTGCTTCAGATTTTGCACTGACTAGCAGGCTGCTTTGATCAGTAGGGCGACTGTAACAAGCAAAGCTGAACCATGAAAACACGATGATAAAACATTTTCCATTAAGAGCCCTCTCCTTCACCTACACCAGAGAGCAGTGTAAGTTCATAAAGCGACAAGAATCCTTTAAGAAAAGGTCATGCCTCTGATCAAGTCTCTAAAACAAAAAAATTCTTTTTTTTAAAAAGCAATGTGGTAGTTTCTCAGCAGCCCCTGTAGGCATTCTAATGTCCTGACATTTATGTTGACTTCAGCGTGCTCTGGAGAGACACTTTGGGTCAAATCACAAGCTTAATGCTGTACAAGACACAGTAAACTCATTTCTAAATCCTAAAAGTTTATAGCCATCAAGGAAAAACACCAGTAAAATAATTACCACCTGTAAAATGCAATTTAAAACAGAGAGAAGAGCTTAGTTTCCTTCTAAGAATTATCAAGATGTTATTATATGCCTATGTATATGTGAAAATACAGAGAAATACACACACATTCTATAGGTATCTGAACCAGTATGTGAATAAAAATAATCATACACGAAAGCCTTTTGAAAGTCCGTCTACAAAGTCTTTTAAAGAAACTAAGAGGCATTATGGATAAATAATTGGTTAAAGAATAGAAATGAGGTAAAAGTAATTGGTTCTGAAAATAAAAGGAAAGCACATGCAGAATTTTGCTGGGACTCATGCTTTTCAGCATATTCATAGGCAGACGGGGCAGGGGGGGAGAGAGTAAAAAAAAAGCAAGGAAGTGAAAAAGTTTGTTGGTAACACTAAGTTATTCAAGCTGGCAAGGATGAAGGCCAGCTTCAGAGAACTGCAGAAGGACTTTAAAAGACAGAATGAACACTTAAAAGGAAGACAAAATGGATTTCAATGCATATTGAAGTGAATTACACAGCAAAAACCAACCCAGTCATCACATATAAAGCAATGGGCTCACAGCTGACTGTTGCCCAACAGAAGCAAGATCTTGGAGTTTAAACACAGTACCAGGAAAAAAAAAATCAGTTCACTGCTTACTAGAGGTCAAAAAAAGCCATTAAACAAAACAAATGACAAGGAAGGGAACAGAGAACATCACTGTGCCACTGTCCATGGTTTGCCAAATGCTGTGTGCAGTTCTGGTTCCTGCAGCTCAGTAACGGCAGAGTACACCTGAAAAAAGTAAAAAGAATGGCACGGAAATGATTAAAAAACAGAACTGCGTCCACATAAATAAAAGTAAATATCCTACAATTTTCCATCTGGAAAGTGGTGATCGAAAGTAATCTAAGGGGGCATTTGCTAAAGCTCTGCAAAATCCCCCGTGGCCTGGAGAGGGCAGTTGGGGATTAACTGTTCACCGCCCCTTCTGAACACCGACTATGGCCATCAGAGGAGGCCAGGAGGGGTCAGGCTCACAGACAACCAAAAGAGGGTCGTTTGCCACACAACAGGCAGTCAGTCTGTGGAACCCCTTTCCAAAGGGGTGCTATCGACATGGGAAACATATTTGGCTCAGAAACTTCTCCGAGTTACCAACAGTTAAAGACTGAGAAAGTACTTGGGAGAAGTACACCAGTGGTCTCCAAAGTGAGATGCATGCACCCCAGAGAGTATGCACAACAGTCCATTGGGGGATGGGAAGAAAATGGGTTTTGTACCATTAAGAAATAAAACAAAAAAATTAAAAAGTTTATTTCATCTTTATCTCATACTTTTATAATTTCTAAATATATAATTATAATAATATATACTTCTAAATATAATTTGGACCTGCATCTCCAAGTTAACCACCCAAATCCACTGTAGTCCCTGAAGCCTCAGTTCAGTGTCCTCCCTGACCATCACAAGTCTTAGTTCCTCCTTGCGCTTGTACACATGAGGGAAACTGGAGAAAGAAAGAAGGGGAATGAATGATCACCGAAGAACCAATGGCTATAATTGGTATGGACAGAGGAAGAGGGCTGAGGTAGGAGAGGGACCGGCACACGAAGCCAAGCAGGTGAATTCAGCAAATATTCATGGAGGAAACAGATTGTGGGTACAGCCATCGTGCAGAGAAGCAGCAGGAGGCAGCAAAAGGCAAAACTGAGGCTTTGTGCGGAGCTGGAAATATCTTCTCCCATAAACAGGGAGCTATGAAAACTGCTGGAACACAGCAGCTCCCTCCGTTCCCACATACTCACCCCCACCCTCTGACCCAGGCAGAGTCAGTAGAAATAAATGGCCCAGAAAATGCTTCTCACTTGAACTTGTACTTAAGATCTCTGTTGTCTGACAACCTACACATTGTGGCATTCTTCCAGCAAAGAGCAGACCATTTGACCTGCTGTTGCCTGTCAATCAGCCAGGGACATTTGACAGTCATTCAGAGACAAGATCCTGGGCACAGCCAACTCACGTTCATCCCTCCTGGAGACTGGCCACAAGGATCAGACTGCAAGTCCACCCTTCTGCTTCCATAAAGGACACCTTAAGGCTTGGAGAACAAGGTCACCAAGCCGAATCTACTCTCGATCTAAGTCTGACATCTTTGAACTTCCTCCAGTTCCCTTTGTTAAACATCAAAATAGAGAAACATAGAAAAAGGACAAAACTCAGAAAAAGGAAACAGCTCTAGCAAAAGTATATTCAGTCTCACTCCTTGCCCCGCCTCATTCCTTCCCCTCCCTTCTCATGTTCCTATCTCCAATATCACCCACAGATAAAATATTACTCACTACACAACTGCCATCTCCCTGCTGCAAGCCCACCGGAAGACCAGGATATAGAAATGCTTTCTCTAAATTTTTATAAAAGGAGAACACACAAGCAGTAACTTACCTTATCGAAAAGCTTATTTTGCTCTCAAACACACGTCCCAGACAAGACAGTGACAGATAACACATTGAAATTTTCACAATACTGACATTAAAAAAAAAAAAAGGTGCTGAGACTAAAGAGTATTACAATACCATTATGTCTTTTGAAAGAGATCTTGGGAGATGCACCTGTCTATGGTTTAGGACCCGTGTCACCCCTCTTCCTCGAGGGGATGGAATCTGTCCTGAACAGGTACCATCCACGGTGAAAGCTGCAGTGCAAAACAGCACCGACACATCCTCCTTCCTGGGACATGGCCCACCGTAAACCCCTCTACCTAACCCAACTCTGTTCGTACCCACAGACCTATCCCCTTTTTTCCACCATTGATCCCATACACAAGTATTACTCTGCGCTACTACAAACACTTCACTGGGCAGAGGGCAAAACCCCTGTGGGCCATAGGAAATGAGGAAGATCACAGCATGTCCCCAGCTGAAGGGACCACTCTCACAGCTCTGAGAAGATGAAGCAAAGAGTAGAGCAGAGCTGCCTGCAGAGCAGCTAGGCAAGGCCAAGCACTATGGGACACAGAGAAAGGCATACAACCAAACCTTCACGTATGCACACTGGTCCCTCAGAATTCTGCCGATGGCCTGCATTCCTGCACACAGGCCATCACTGCCCCGGTACAGCCTTCCAAACGGAGCTCACTGTCAGAGCACAAGCACACCACCTCCCCAGCAACAGCTGCCAAGTCCCTGTCACTACCTCCCACTGCCCAGTTTCCCAAGTCACCTATATGGCTTTTCTACTATCTTCCCCAAAACCTCCCTTCTTGCCTGAGCCTCCTGTCACATCAGAGGACTGCCTCCTTCCTCTTCCTCTTTGTCATTCTTCCAGTGAATTTCTCCTGTCTAATGGCAGAAATGAGACAACATTGGAGCGGTGCTCTGCTATGGATTTCTGCTGCGGAGTCCTTTCTCAGGGGACATCAACAACATAGTAGCCAAAATGCTGAATCAGAAAAAAGGAGGGTTCCTGTCTGGACATACCAGGTAGAGGAAAATAACCTGGAGAACTGACAGGTAAAAGGAAAAGAAAGTGTCGAGGAAAGAAAAGCAAACACACCTACAAGAGCCTCAGAAAGGGACTAAACAGAGCGCGAGGAGTCACTGCAATGCAATATAACATTAAGCTGCACGTACAGCAATTTCCTGTTCTGAAAGACACAGGCTCTATCCATCCCAGCACCATACAGGAGGACTCTGAGGCATGCAGGGAACAGCCACAGGCTTCTTGTTAGCAGAGAAACTGACAAATTTTGAGAACAACAATTACCAAGTATACAAACAGCAGATTTTCTTAAGTAAAAATAGAAGCTACCTTACCTAGACAACATATCGTGTCAAGGCATTACAGCAGCTACTGATTTCTGTAAGGCATAAACACAAGCAAGAGGAGATGCCAGATGCTGTCTGGAGGTAAGAATGGGTCACAAGAAGTATCTGGAACAGTGGGAAATTTAGTCTAGACTGATACCATCCGATGGCACCAGGTTTCTCACTGCACAAATGGTTTCCCAACCGAATGTGCCATTTCAAAATGGACTCTTAGAAGTACAAGAAAAAAAGCTGTAGATGGGATCTCTCCTCTGCTATAACTACAGACATTACCTCACATGATTTCCTTTTTTTTAATCTCTATCAATCTTTTACAGATTTACGAAGCAGAAACATCAGTATTGCAATTCTTCTTGCTTCTCTCCCACATTCATCTTCCTCCATTTCCCAAAAGCTCCAACATCC